GTGTTCTTAAAAAAAAAAAAAAAAAAGATACTTCAAAGTGAATGACATCCATTGTTAACTATTATATCTTTAAAGCAGTAAGCAGGGAGAAGGACCTTGACACTTGCTCACTGGGAAATGTAACCTATCTTTTTGTTGTTGTTGTTGGAGTCTCACGCCATCACCCAGGCTGGAGTGCAGTGGCAGGCTCACAGCCACCACAGCCTCCACCCGCTGGGTTCAGGCAATTCTTTCACCTCAGCCTTCCAAGTAACTGGAAGTACAGACATGCGCCACCACACCCGGCTAATTTTTCTTGATTTATTGTGGAGACAAGGTCTTGCCAAGTTGCCCACGCTGGTCTCGAACCCTGGGCTCAGGCAATCCTTTCACTTCAGCTTCCCAAAGTGCTGGGATTACAATGCACCACCATGCCCAGCTGCCAATCTTAATCCACACTTTTAGTTTCAGCAATCACAGTAATCTGTGTTATCTTTGACTATGATTAGGGTGACCACATCATTTATCCCCACATCTAAGTACTTCTGAGTATGAAAGGAGGTACTATCAACAATTACGTTGGAATAATATGAACAGACCAAACCAGTTTCCATAATTATGAAGAAAAGCCAAATATTAATGATTTTGCCGTAGAATTCTACTCAATGTTTCACAGTATTTTCTGATCCATTTGTATTACTAGAGAACTAAAAGCGAAAATTCTGGGAGTCAAGCAAGAGTTTGCCAAACTTCATTCCACTGAGTCAACACACAGTCTGTACCCAGTACATAAGTACAGCCTGGCTACAGAGGAAAGCTGTGCTTAGATCTCTCACTCGGAAGACCAATTAACTATCTAAATGAATTAGCATTCTATTTACACTTCAAGTCCAGGAGGCTAATTACTATTTAAATAAGACCTTCTACCTTATAATTACAGCCGTTAGCATGTGAAAGTTTTAGGGAAGCCTGCCTTCCTATCTGAAATGCAAACTTGAAGACATACAAAAGCACTTATGGCATGTAGCAAAAGCCAGATCTTTGGTAAATGGTTTTGGAAATTGAAGTATATATAAGATGATCACTTATAAACTTGCAAAATGTTCTTCTCAGCTGGCTCAAATGTGTAGTTATAATATCACATTGCGTTAGGTCACAATTCCCAGCGGGGTTTCCAAAATGTTAGGTCAGACGCGATGGGGGTGTTCACGATGGTACCTTGTGAAAGATGCAAAGAAATTGGACAGAAGTTGGATGGGAAAATATAGTTTATTTAGAAAGTAAGTTAGAGAGAGAGAGAGAGAGAGAGGAGATTCACCTCCCCGAGGTAGGGGAGGGGTCCAAAGCTTAGGAAACACGGCCTGGCCATAGCTCAAAGAACCACCTGGCCAGACCAGAGCTTAACAAAGCAATGGCAAATGGCTGCTTGAAATTGAATGCTTTTAAACTTTCTCTTTGGTGTGGAGCAGGTTGTTAAGGTGACTGGGCGGTGGTCTGTTCCACGTCATCACGAAGGGAACAGGTAAGCACAGGTACTGACATCAAGTGATGGACAGCAGGCAGATGGATGGGCTGGTCACTTATCCGTTGCCATGTTGATGGGGCCTGTGTCATGAAGGTCACAAGAGGCTGAATAAGTTAACTTGCTTCTTATTCAAATACTTGGAATAGAAAAGCTAATTAATTAGTACAAAACGAGCTGGGGAGGGGTTTGTAAAATAATTATCCATAGCAACCTCTGAGAAATCAGTTATATCCTTGACTAGTGATTGAAGTGCAAGCTAAAGTGAACTGTTAGAAAAATATGACAAAGCGAAGCAATGATAAAATGGCTGCTCTCAGCCAGGCGTGATGGTGTGTATCTGTAGTTCCAGCTACTTAGAAGGCTGAGGCAGAAAGATCGCCTGAGACCAGCAGGTCAAGGCTGCCGTGGCTACAAGCGTGCCACTGCACTCCAACCTGGGCAACAAAGAGTAAGACTCCAACTCAAAAAACAAAAAAACGGAGGGGGCTGCTCTTTGGCTATATTGACTCCATCTGATGCACACATAGTACCAAAGCAGAATTCTTCCT